AATGATTGCGCAAATAGAAACTTAAAAAACTTTAATAATTATTAATTTTGATTTAATTAATAAATTAATTAATTAATAAATATTTCCATAAAGAACTGTTATGATGAAATCATTACAATAGCATTAGAAGAGATTTCAAACTTTGTCTTGAGTCTCCTCTGATGCTACTGCTATATATGCAATAGATTGTAAATGCTTGGACATTCTCAAACGTCCAGATGTAACCGCTAAACAAAAATGTTTTTGTGTTAACTGGATAGGAGATTTCCAAGTATTCATTCTCTCCACATGTCCGAAGTCTTCCTGGTCTCCACTACCCCAAAACTTCAACCATTAATAGTAACATCAATAATTAAATAGTAAAAATGTACCTGAAAGAAATAGGCACATAAATCTTGTAAACCTTAAGGTCTCGCTAACATCAGATAAAATAGAACTACAAGTAACTTCAAGCATTAGTATGAACTGTACACAATATCGAATTATTTCGACTGTTTTAATGCTTGCATTAATGATAATTCCACCACCATGCTCACTAAAAAATAATAAGTAATATCTATGTTTTAATGACATTCAATTTCACTACCTTTAAAAAATGAACTGATGAGATTATATATCATTAAAATCTGTACTTTTATGCGGAGCCTGCAATGTTGTAAGACTTTCTACTAAAGGAACATTTAAAGGGAAAACAAAATAGAGAAACTAGGTTTAAAAATTAGATAAAATGTGGATCTGGTGATGAAGTAGTCTGGTGTAGAAATATAGTAGATATTTATCAACTAAATCTATGTTAAATATTAGTGTACAAGACAATAATTTATACCAGACAATTATCTATATTAAACTATTTTACTTATCTTATATCTAAATAAATTTGTTTTTTTTCATTTCTCAGCAAAAAAAAAAAAAAAAAAAAAAAAAAAATCCTTCACAATCAAAACCAGTTTTATGATATTTAAAATTCTTCATCCTGGTAGAATTAGCAATTATTATTAGCAATATTAAAATTTTCTGATTGTACTTTTGCTATATATATACAGGATTATTAATTATTATTATTGCTATATATATATACTTATATATAATTATTATATAATATAAATATTATATATATTTATATATTAATATAAATATTATATATATATATAACTATTGCTATATATATACAGAATTAGTAATTATTATTAGCAATATTAAAACTTTCTGATTGTACTTTTGCTATATATATATACATTTGCTATATATATGTACTTTTGCTATATATATACTTTTGCTATATATATACAGGTCAGGTCAGGTTTATTCTGCTACTGACCTTACAGGTCAGGTCAGGTTTATCCTGCTACTGGTAACATGTAACCCAGTACAATCTGCTTCATGTCCTGCTGCCTTGTAGGATATGCCTTTTTAGGCAAAGGCTAGGAGACTTTAACTAAACTAGTTTTGAATCCACAGACTACTCTTTTATGTGCTTTCGTTTAGCACTACTTCACTTTATCACCTTTCTCTTTGTTCTATATCGCTCTCCTTCATCTCAAGACTGCACTCTTCTTGATGTTATTTCTGATTATATTGAACAAGCCCTCATTCTTTATCCATCAGCCAATATTTTTGTTGTCGGTGACTTTAATGTTCATCACACTTAATGGCTTGGCTCTAGTGTCAGTGACTCTGCAGGCATTAAGGCCCACAACTTTTGCTTTTCTCAATCCCTAACTCAAATAGTCAACTTTCCAACTCGCTTTCCAGACAACCGGAATCATTTACCTTCTCTACTCGACTTATGTCTTGTTTCTGATCCTAGTCAGTGCTCAGTTTCTCCACACTCACCCTTAAGTGCTTCTGATCATGGTTTGGTCTCTCTAAAACTATTATCTCATTCTTCTTTACCATCAGAATCCCCCTATCATTGTACATCTTACAACTACCTTAAAGCTGACTGGGACTCTTTCCGTGATTTTCTTTGTGATGGCCCCTGGGTAGAAATCTTTTGTCTTCCTGTTGACAAATGTGCTTCTTACATAACTTCATGGATTCAAACTGGCATGGAATCCTTTATTCCCTCTCGACGATTCCAGGTCAAGCCTCACTCTTCTCCATGGTTTTCCTCACATTGTGCTGCTGCAATTGCCAATCGAAACCATTACTTCCATATCTATCATCAAAACAATTCTCCAGAAAACAGACGTCTCTTTATTACTGCTAGGAACCATTGTAAAAAGGTTTTGTCTAACGCCAAAACCCGCTATTCTCAGATCATGAAATCTCGTATTTCATCACAAAAATTAGGCTCTCGTGACTTCTGGAGAATCTTTAATAGTATCAATAATAAGGGCAAGTCTGTAATTCCACCTCTTTTGTACGATTCAGACTTTGTCACCTCACCTAAAGACAAAGCTGAACTGTTTGCCAAGAACTTTTCATCAATATCATCTCTTGATTCCACTAGTTGCGTTCTACCTGATATAGCCGTCAAACAGGTTGATCCGCTGCTCGACATCCGTATCACTCCAGCTTCTGTATCTAAAGTGATTTCCTGCTTAGACTCTGTTATAGTCTTGCAGAAGTGTTCTCCGGAGCTGTCATCTATCCTTTCAAAAGACCAATTATTATTTAACAAGTGCTTATCAGAGTCTTGTTTTCCAGCCTGCTGGAAAGCAGCATCTGTTATCCCTATTTTTAAAAATTCTGGTGAGCGATCTGATTCGTCTAACTACCGCCCCATTAGTCTTCTTCCTATCATAAGCAAGGTTTTTGAATCTTTAATTAACAAACACTTAATCTCTCATCTCAAATCTTATAACCTACTTTCTGATCATCAATATGGATTTCGATCTTCTCGTTCTACAGCTGATTTGCTAACAGTAATAACCGATAGGTTTTATCGCGCATTAGATAAAGGTGGAGAGGTTAAGGCCATTGCTCTTGACATTTCTAAGGTGTTTGATAAAGTTTGGCATGCTGGTCTTCTCCATAAGCTTTCTTCTTACAGTGTATCTGGAAACATCTTTAAGATTATCGAATTTTTCCTTTCCAATCGTAGTATAAAAGTTGTTCTTGATGGACAGCACTCTTCTTCTTATTCTGTAACCTCAGGGGTTCCTCAAGGTTCAATCCTTGGCCTTATACTCTTTTTAATTTTTATTAACCATCTTCCAGATATTCTCACATCTAAGGTGGCATTGTTCGCTGATGATACTACCATTTATTCTTGTCACGATAAGAAGCCAACTCCCTCTGATTGCTTGCAGGGGGCATCTGAGCTTGAAAAGGATCTCACTTCTGCTACAGCATGGGGCTCACAGTGGCTGGTGAACTTTAATTCAGATAAAACTCAATTTTTTTCAGCCAATCGTTATCGCAATAATTTAGACCTTCCTATATTTATGAACGGTAATGTACTTGATGAGTCTCCTACCCTTCATCTTCTAGGATTAACTCTTACTTCTGATCTTTCTTGGAAACCTTATATCAAATCCGCTGCAAAATTAGCATCTGCTAAAGTCGCTTCTCTTTATCAAGCTCATCACTTTCTTACTCTGGATTCTATTCTCTATCTCTATAAATCTCAAATCCGGCCTTGTATCGAATACTGTTGCCATATCTGGGGTGGATCTTCTAATGATGCCCTTTCTCTTTTAGACAAGGTGCAAAAACGCATTGTAAACATAGTTTGACCTGCTCTTGCAGCGAACCTTCAACCTCTGTCACATCGTCGTAATATTGCTTCTCTTTCTCTTTTCTATAAATACTATAATGGGCACTGCTCTAAAGAGCTAGCGTCTCTTGTACCATCTACAAAAATTCATTCTGGTGTTACTCGTCATTCAACTAAGTCTCATCCTTTTTCTGTTACTGTTCCTAAGTGCTCCAAAAACTCTTATTCGTCTAGTTTTTTTCCTCGAACATCAGTTCTTTGGAATTCGCTACCTTCATCGTGCTTTCCTGATTCATATAATTTGCAATATTTTAAGTCGTCTGTCAATCGTTATCTTGCTCTACAATCTTTATCTTTTCTCTTCCAGTAACTTCCAACACTAATTAGTGGTTGCTTGCAGCCTGTTGTTGGAAGCAAAGATGTTAAATATATATATATATATATATATACATATATATATATATATATATATACATATATATATATATATATATATATATATATTTAAACAATTTAAAATGTATTCTACAAAAAGAGTGCTCAATGTTTTTAAAAGAACAGAGCAATTACAAATTAGTAGAAAATCACTGACCAAAATTTTTTCTCATTTAACACTGTGTTTCATCAATAAAGACTCATCAGAAATGCAAATAGTCATTTCTGATGAGTCTTTATTGATGAAACACAGTGTTAAATAAGAAAAAATTTTGCTAAGTGATTTTCTACTAATTTATATATATATATATATATATATATATATATATATATATATATATATATATATATATATATATATATATATATATATATATACATATATATATATATATATATATATATATATATATATATATATATATATATATATATATATCAAAATTACTGCATTAACATGAAAAAAATCCCAGCTTATCCCATCAAGTTGACTATTTGCTAATATATACAATAGTATATAGTAAATAGCTTAAATTAACAAATAAGATTTTTAAAAGTATTCAGAGCTTGAGTTAAAATCTAAATATATTAGCTATTTTTCATCCTTATCAATCATAATTAGCTATGTTGATAGCCACCAGTTGCTTAAGATAACAAATGAAGAAAATTGCTTTAAATTTTTCTATAAAAACCAATAAATATATTTTTCAGCTGTCATCATCATCATCATCATCATCACCATCACCATCACCATCATCATCATCATCATCATCACCATCATCACCATCATCATTGCCACCATCACCATAATTGTCATCATTATCATCATAATTGTCATCATTATCAAGTCAGCACAACGAATATTGATCACATATTACATACCGCTGCTGATACCAGAAAAATGCGCATCTTGTTTTAAGTTTTAAATACAAGTTTAATACCACGTATTAATCAAAAATACATATAATTGTGCTAGGTTTAGTTTATATTATAAAATATAACAGAAAAATAAAAATTAACCGTGCATAGCACATGCGTTCACTAAAATCACTTGATCAAACAAACAAACAAACTAAACAAAAAGTTTAGTGAAAAGTCTTCATATAATTTATGTAACTTTTAAAACTATATTAATTTTTTATCTTGTTTCAATACAAAATTATATTCTGTACCTATATTCTGTCAGGAATATTCAGATATAAGTCTTCATAAAGCTTCTGTGATGTATGTGAAATGCTTTAGCAGAACAATATCTCTTTAGAAGAGGTATCATACTGCTTACTATATCAATGTTTTCATTAATAAAATATTCTTTATTATATTCACAATATCGTAATATTATAAAGCACTATAACATAAAACAAATGCTATTATTAAATGATATCATTTACAACTCATCAGTGCTATATCTGGGATATATCTGTTATCACTTAATATATGCAAAAATAGATAATAGACACAAATGAAACCTGTAAGCAAAACGAAACCTATGAACAGAACACTATATATCGTTCTGCTAAAGCATTATGACATATATGAACAAATCAGTGCAAACTGTTCTCTATAATCACATATATTATATGTGATAATAGCTATAATAAAGCTAATATCGCATATAATATATGTGATTGTACAATAACAAAAGATCTTCAGTAAACAATTTAATATATGAACTTTAAAAAATGTCAGGGCAAACTGTACAGATATAGCCTATATCTGTTCAGTTTGCCCTGTTATTTTGTTAAGTTCATTAATTAAACTGTTAACTGAAGATCTTTTGTTATTGTAAAATAAATAAAAATAATTCAAAATATTTATCTTCCTGTAAAGAGGATATTTATCAAAAGATAAAAAAGGGTATTAAATATAGTTGATATTTTTGCCAATTATACCAATTATAGTAGAAATACAAAGTCATCATACGTTCATGACACAAGTTTATTTGCAAGACTATGTAGCAGAAGTTATTATTCAAAAAATGATGGGTTAGTTATTAATGAAAAACATATATACATTTTTTTTATTTTTTTATTTGCGATGCTTTAGCAAGAGGTTTTTCTAAAAAGAACGTTGCAAGGCAACATATTTTTTATCTTATTACAAGAAATATTGTGTCAGGATAATTTTAGGAAATGAAGTTTACAATCTGTTTGTTGCAATTGCTGTAACTAAATGAGTTTTACACATAAAGACTGATAATAACAGAAATTAATTATTGCCAGTTGCGAAGAGACTTTTTGCCACTTTTATCTATAATTTATGTAAAATTTAAAACTTTTAACACTTGTAACTTATATAGTTGAGCTGTAAATGATGCATCTGCATTTAAACTTGAAAAGTTACAGTATTTAAAAAAAAGTTCTTTTAGAGTTATAAGCAATATTCTTGCAATTTCTTATTAACATCAATCTTCTGATTCATAATAAGTTTTTTCAATCATAAATCATTACTTTTTCTTTTTCATGTTGTAAATTTCTTTATTTCTTTTAATTTGGATATATATGTTTTTAAATTCTTTTCTTTGAATTAATTAGGAGTTTTACTAACTTAATTTTATTTTGTAATTTCTATAAACAAAAAAGTTCTTTTTTATAATTCTTTTTTTTTCCTTTCTTTTTAACATCTTCACTTCCAACAAGTCTGCAAGCAACCACTATAAGAGTTGGCAGTTACTGGATGAGAAAAGATAAAGTTTATAGAGCAAGATAACAATTGACAGATGATTTAAAAGATTGCAAATTATATGAATCAGGAAAACAAGAAGAATGGACCAAATTCCAAAGATCTAATGTTCGAGAAAAAAAACTAGACGAATAAGAATTTTTTGAGCACTTAGGAACAGTCACAGTAAAAGGATGAGACTTAATTGAATGACGAGTAACACAAGAATAAATTTTAGTGGGTGGCATAAGAGACGCTAGCTCTTTAGAGCAGCATCAATTATAGTATTTATAGAAAAGAGAAAGAGAAGCAACATTACAACGATGTGATAATGGTTGGAGGTTGGCTGCAAGAGCAGGTCCAACTATGTTTACAATACATTTTTGCACCTTGTCTAAAAGAGAAAGGGCATCATTGGAAGATCCACCCCAGATATGACAACAATTTCTATAAAAGGACAGATTTGAGATTTATAGAAGTAAAGAATAGAACCTTAAGTAAGAAAGTGACGAACACGTTAAAGAGATGCAACCTTAATACATGCTAATTTTGATTTAATATATGGTTTCCAAGAAAGATCAGAAGTAAGAGTTACTCCTAAGGATGAAGGGTAGATGACTCATCGAGTACATTACCGTTCATAAATATAGGAAGATCTAAAATATTGTGATAACGGTTCAAATTCAAATATAATGTACAAACTCACTTTAAAAAAATATTGATATATAATTAATAATAACTGATAGAAAAAATAATTAAAATTGTATATACTTAAAATAAAAGAAATTCAAAACAAGCTCACTAATTTAAATTTTTATCTAAATTAGTGAGGTTTTTTGAATTTCTGTTGTTATTTGAATTTATGTATTATTATTTGAATTTATGTATTTATTGTATTTATTTGAAAGTTGTTATTGATATGTATTATATTAAAGCATTATTGAGTATTTAACAAACAAAAATTGGAAATTTTTATGTTTTTATTAATCTTTGTTTTTACATATCTAATTAGTGTTACACAAAATATTAAGTTCTTTGGTGTTTATCTTAATGATGGCGATGACAGCAAATTGAGCGACAAAGAATACAGAAAAGTAATACTAACCCAACTGAAAATTTTAGAATTTATGTCTTACTTTAAACTGATTGCATGCAGTTTTAAGAAAGAACTTTTCCTTTGTATGAATTAATTTCTCTTTTTCCAATATAGATTAATTTTTTATTTCGAAGATTTTCAAGGAACTATAGAAAAGCATTTAAAATTTTGTTTGTCTTTGAAATTGTCCTTCTTCTTGATGTTCCTCTGATGGCGAGTGTAGTCAAATCTTTTCAAAAATTAAGTGCAATTATTTGTCTATGAATTTAATTTTTGATTATTACGTTGTATATTGTATTTTTTAGCTGTATAAACAGTAAGAAATTGTAAGAAGAAATGCAATTTTAAAATACAAGGTAAAGAGTACATTAGTATATTATTAGGCATATGGAGCAATTTTGTTATTATAAAATAACATAAAATGCATTTTTATTATATCATATACATACCATAACAGTGCATATTCGAAGAAGTTTCTAATGCGCATTTACAACTAAATGTGCTGGCTGGGATAATCATCATCATCATCATCATCATCATCATCATCATCATCATCATCATCATCATCATCATCATCATCATCATCATCATCATCATCATCATCATCATCATCATCATCATCATCATCATCATCATCATCATCATCATCATCATCATCATCATCATCATCATTAGCATAAAAATTAGCTTACATATTTAATGAACTATTGTAGAGCTTTACTATAGGATAAAACATCCAATCTGTTGGAAGTAAACTTTGTCTTTTGTACAAAAAACTTGTTCTTTCCTTATTCAGTGATCTAACAAAATAATAAGAAAATTTTCAAAGACTAAAAATCTAAAAAATTTTAAGAAAATAAAAAAAAAATCTAAGAAATATGTTCATTTTATGAATATATATATATATATATATATATATATATATATATATATATATATATATATATATATATATATATATATATATATATATATATATATATATATATATATATATATATATATATATATATATATATATATATATATATATATATATATATATATATATATATATATATATATAGCCCTCAGAAGTAAACCTATCAGTCAACTCTTATTACTGGTGATAATAAAGCAAAGATGTGTTACAAACAACAAATAATTTGAAGTATTAAAAAAGTTACTTTAATTTAAAGGTATCCAAGTAAATGTTTGCAGTATAAGAAAGTTCTTTCAAAGCAAGCTCCACATTTTGTTTTACCATAGCTGTTCTTTCCTCTGAACCATGTAAAATAAATGTCTTCTTTCTAAATAAGTAAGACAATAAATTTTCTCACCTATAATTTTAATACTGTTGCAAAAGTCAGAAAAACCATCAACAAATGCAACTGCCTTTTTTAATATATAAACCTGCTCTGTAAAACAATCTCTTAACACCATTATCTTTATCTATCTATCAATCTGCCTAACTACCGATCTCTTCCTATTTTAATCCCTCCCCCTTCATTTCCTTTCTCCCTCTCTCCCTTTCTCTCTCTCTCTCTCTCTCTCTCTCTCTCTTTATATATATATATATATATATATATATATATATATATATATATATATATATATATATATATATATATATATATATATATATATATATATATATATATATATATGTATATGTATATGTATATATATATATATATATATATATATATATATATATATATATGTATATATATATATATATATGTATATATATATATATATATATATATATATATATATATATATATATATATATATATATATATATATATATGTATATATATATATATATATATATATATATATATATATATATATATATATATATATATATATATATATCCACCCTCAGAATTAGGAAAAATTAGAACTTTTAGAGGTCGGCATCAGGTTGACAAAAAAAATTCGAAACAAAAGTTTCGAATTTTTTTTGCTGTCGGCAATATTTTGCTGACAGCGTTTCTATACTTTATGGTCAGGGCCGTAGGTCAAGGAGGACTCTAATTCTGAGGGCTATATATATATATATATATATATATATATATATATATATATATATATATATATATATATATATATATATATATATATATATATATATATATATATATATATATATATATATATATATATATATATATATATATATATATACACATATTATATATAGTAAAATTAAAAATAAAAAAGTAATTGTATACAGTTTTAAAAGTAGATTTTGCTATTTTTTAGCAGGAGGGAAATGAAATTGGTTGTTGAATAGTTTGAACACTTGTTGAATAGTTTGAAGAGTATTGAAAACACTTGTTGAATAGTTTGAAGAGTATTGAACTCTGGATCACTACAAACTCTGTAAGACTCTTGAACTCTTGAAGACTATTGAAGAAAACTCTTGAAGAGTATTGAACTCTGGATCACTACAAATCTTGTAAGATTATAACAGGAATGTTTTCAACAAACTGTAAGAGAGTTTAAATAAAAAATTAAATTAAGAAATAGAACAAGTTTTCTTACCGTAGATTAACCTGTTTTGCTGAAATGCAGGAAGAGTGTGGTTGTTAGAGTTGGTTAGACAACAAAAGACAATAAAGTGAGAAATGAGAGATTAATATATTGCTTTAAAACATTAAGCAATCTGGAAAACAATATAGAATGAGATTTAAAAAAATGAAAAAAAAAGCATCAAAGGACCAAACCAAGCTGTCAAGCCCAAGTGAAATAAGGAAAAAATTAGGAAGAGAGAAAGAATAAAAAAATTTATAAATTTATATTGTCCAGAATAAAACAAAGACACTAGAGTAAAACGTGTTGTAAAAAAAAATACTAATAATTTAGACACCGCGAATATAATAAAAGTGATAAACTCAGACTCCTAATGAAAAATCATGACCAACGCATAAGGTCTAAAAAAAATGTAAAATACAAAACTTGTTCAAGTGACATGTTCAGAGCAGAAATTTATTTAGTTATACTTGATCTGCTGTGCTTGAACATGGCTGATTGAATCTGCTGTGCTTGAACTTGTGCAATCAAAGGCTACAGAGAAATATGAAACTTTCTATCAAAAAACCTTTTTTTAATAAAGGAGGATAAGTAATAGGAACAAAGAAAAACAAATAGATGTTCAGAAAAACAACTGATTTATTTTAAAAAGGTAAAGCTTATACACAAATCATAGTTAACAGTAAATCTACTGATAATTTATACCTAAAACAAAATAGGACCATATAAGTAACCATAAATCTTTAGTAAAAGTTTATTGCAAATGTATGTTTGTTTTAAAGTAAAACATACTTTAAAACAAACATACATATACATAGATATATCAATATTTAAAATAAATAAATATAAAGTGATAGGAGGTACAATATGCCTACTTCATACTGCAGTAAGGACTTCACTACAAACAGCCAAACCCTAACTTCACCCAAATTTGTAAAGCACTAATATTTTTGAAAAAATAATATGGATAGTGAGATTCAATACCAAATACAATAAAATAATATATATACATATATATATATACATATATATATATACATATATATATATATATATATATATATATATATATATATATATATATATATATATATATATATATATATATATATATATATATATATATATGTATATATATATATATATATATATATATATATATATATATATATATATATATATATATATATATATATATATATATATATATATATATATATATACATATATATATATATATACATATATAAGTTTGATAAATATATAAAATAAAAACAAAGTTTTTTTTTAACAAATGACAAAAAAAAAACAATAGGCTAAAATGTAAACGATAATGTAAAATAATAAAAATTATTATGTTCTAATAATTTTTTATGTTCTAATAATTTTTATTATTTTATATTATGGTTTAAAACGATAATATAAAATAATAAAAATCTAAAATTACTCAGAATATTAAAAGAAAATTAAAAAAACAAAAACAAATTGATAGAAAATTAAATGATACGCAGATTAAAAATATTGTATTTTTTATGTTTTAAATACAAGTATATTAGGTAAATTTATTTTCAGAAACAATTTAAAATTTACTTACCTAAACATCTTAGGATTAAATATGACATTCTTCATTACAGAAATAATATTATCACAACTAAAATTACAAGGGAGAGTCAGTATCAAAAAAGACAATTGTAGATAGATATCATTAATAGTCGGATGAAACATATGAAAACCACAGTTTTTTCCCTAGTAAAAAAACGAAAATTTTCAAAATTTATTAACCAAAACCTGAAAATTGTTTAACACATAAAAATTTTTAAGCACAAAAAACGTACATTACTTACAACAACAATGAAAAGCTCCAACAAATGTGAAAGAAGAATACATTCTATTTCTGTTGATACCAAAGTGTTAATGTGCTTCAATATAAAAAAACCAATAGAAGTTATCAATACGAAGATATTCTAGTAACTACTAATTTTATAAAATTGTTTTAAGTTACAAGTTACAATCAAGTCATACAAATTTTTATGAAAGAATTTGATTACCTTAACTATATTTGATTGGAGAACAAATTTAATATAAACCAATAACTGTGGATTTGTAACAATTGCAACTGCCTACAAAAAGAAAAAAATTGAAACCTCTGTGTTTCAATTGCATTTGCAATTGCAAATGCATTTCAATCATAAGCTGTTATCAATATTATAATAAAAAATAAATAATGATATTAACTGTGGTTAAACATTTTATTCTAGTTATCATTTTTAAAATATGTTGAAGCAAATATTTGAAATTAAATAAATTTTAAAAAACAGAATTTACATTTGAAGATAAACCTTTATGAATCTTCACCAGCTGAAGAATTAGTTTAAAAAATCCTTGCACTAAACTAATTGGTGAATCTTTTACTAACGATAAAGGAAAAGTGCCAGGTAATGAATATGTTCCATAAGAAGGTAAATTTTTTGGCCAATTAAATAGATAAGCTGACTCTTTTGTATTAAAATCAGAGAACAAACTGCAAATATAAATAAATAAAAAATTAAACAAAAAATTTAAATTAAAAAAAAAATATCCTGTTTATGTAACAAATTGTCACTTATTTTTTATTACATCAATTTATACAGTGTTACCAGAAAAAAAAAAAAAGAATAATGAAAGAAAAGATTGTTGACCCATGTCAAACCCACATTTGATGTAGCTGCTCTCACTAGCAGCAACAGGCTATAAGATGATCGATGTTTGCATTGAAGCCTCTAGCAGCAGGCTATTTCAGTGTGACGCCAGAGTGCTTATCATCATTTTATACAGATAGTTTTATTAGATTTTATTGCATAAAAACTTTTTTTAACATTAAATAAAAATTTGTTTAAAGTTTTATAAAGTAATTTTTTTTCAGAGATGTTTTTATGAAATGATTTTATAACAACATCTCTAACACAGGTCTTTGTAAGTCTAATACAGATCTTTGTAAGTCTATTCCAAACTGATCTTTTCTATACTTTTTCCTAATATATCCTAGCATTCCGGATCCGTAAAATACGGGTCTTTACCAAACCTACCATTTCTATACATATCAATTCCACACAGATTATTTCTATACCTATTCCTTTTATTTACTTCAATACTTTTTAGTAAAATAATTTTGTTCTGAAAAAAACTTCATGGAGCAAAAAAAATAACATGCGCACCTTTTCTGCATATGTAAACCTTATAAAAGACTTTAATAATTTAATTTAATAATTAGGTTTGTTTTTCTGCTAAATGTATATTATTGATAGCTCAGTGCGATGTCATCAGTGTTGTTTTGGGGAGTTTAAGACCTCCTCTTTGCGTGATAAATTTTGAAATTTTAAAAATCTTGCTTATATATTTATAGAAAAAAAAAAAAAATAATATAGCAAAAAAGATTTCTAAAATTCAAAATAAAATCATAAAGTTTTCTCATTTTATAGATATATTATACGCGATTATTCTATATAATGCATGCAAAATCAACATATGCTTAAGACACTTACACTTACAGACGTTTGTATGTAACGCTATACGAATGGAACTAAGAAGATCTTAGATCACTAAAACATAGTCATAAAAAAAAAGTTCATTCTTATGGTTATGATTACAAACTAAAGAATAATATTAAATGCTAATCTAAAAGTTAAGCGATAAATATTTGCGCATTGACTATCATTTTTAAGCCGAAAAATATTTTGCGCATTGATTATCATTTTTAAGCCTCGACTATCATTTTTAATGGTCTAAGAAGCAAATGACATAATTTTAGCAAGCAGAAACCAAGAGAGGGGCAAATCTAAAATTGAAGTTTTAAATTTTCCACTTGGATGAGACAATATGTTTAGTGCTTTTTTAATCTTGTCAATTTTTTAAAATATAATAACATACCTACAAAAAATCAAAACAAAACAGCTTGAGCAAAAAAGACTTGCAATTATTAGAAAAGTTTACTTATATTACATACAATTCTGAATAAAACATTATATAAGTGGATTTTTTACATTTTATAAACAATATATATAAACAAATAGCATATTTTTATATATATAAACACATATATAATATATATAACATATTTATTATATATATTAACTTGTTTCTCTGCACAGCAGCCTTGTTCTTTAAGGTTCGTGTTTCGGACAAAACAGCTTGAGCAAAAAAGACTTGTAATTATTAGAAAAGTTTACTTATATTACATACAATTCTGAATAAAACATTATATAAGTGGATTTTTTACATTTTATAAACAATATATATAAACAAATAGCATATTTTTATATATATAAACATATATATAATATATATAACATATTTATTATATATATTAACTTGTTTCTCTGCACAGCAGCCTTGTTCTTCAAGGTTCGTGTTTCGGAGTTATGGAGTTGAGAGAGGGTTATAACCACTATTAAGTAGCCTCCTCATCTGTAGTGGCCTTCTTGGCCTTGAGGAGGTAAATAAAAAAAATATATATATTGTTTACATAGGGGTGGTTAAGCGCAACAAAGTTTAAAAAAAAATTAGTTTATATTAATATTAAAAAAGGATTTATATGTTTCTTTTCAAACACCAATACACTATACTTAAAATTTTTAAGTGCACTAAACTGCAATTACTTTAAATTTTTTTAGTTTTGTGGCTTTTGTTAATAGATTTTAAATTTTGCGCCAAATTTTCTGATTTCAACATATTTGTTGTATCATCCATAAATCAGTTGTTTTTCAAAACGCTTTCAGGCATAAAAAAATCAATCGTTTCAAAAAACGTTTTACAAAGAGTTTCACCAAACATTTTTTTTAAATTGCATTTTTCTTGAAATGCGTAATAAGCATATTAAGGCATTTTGAAAAACACCTGCAGTATATACTTATAGTAAAAAAGTAAGTGTAACAAAAAAAACTTTTAATTGTAAAAAGAAAGTTTTAAAGTTTTTTCCAGCTACAGGCATTTTTTTTTGCCTCCACAGCAGCACCTTCTGGAGTAGCAGGACTGTCTAATTTATTTTTAATTTATTGAGTTTCAGACAATTTTTTTCAGACCATCTGCAGCTTAATAACATAAGTATCTCAATCATGACACATACACAACAAATTTTTTCTCCTGGTGTTTTGATGTTTTTAGAAATTTTAGCTTTTTTAAATTCTTTTAGTTTGTTAAAGTGTACAATACTGTTACACATGTTTGTATATAATCTCTATAAAACTTCAAAAGTATGTATTTTAAAATAATCAAAAATGAATTAAAAAAAAAAGTTGCAAATGGTAGGACTCGAAACACAACTTACATGTTCAGAAGCTCAGGGGGCTATCCACTCGGCCATCGTGGCACGTTGATATACAAAATTTTTTAAACTAAATAATTATTATTTAAATGGAAAGAAATGTTATAGATCAAAATTAAGGAGACCTTGATGCAATGCAATTTTCATGTGAAAATCAAATTGTAAAACTTGATAAACGTTTCAGCATGTTTTAACATTATTTAATATAAAGTTTAGGTATGTAACAAAGTGCTGTGACTCGCCACTAACTCGATTGCAATGGCTACCAAGGGCTTCATGTCAAACATGCTCGAATGAACACTTTTACTACTAACACTATTAAATTTGGCAATCATATAAAAGATAACTTTTAATTATAAATAAACTTTATAAGTACTTAGAGTCAAAAAACTTATTGTAATAACTTCACAATGCTAAATAATGTTTTCACAAAGATGTTTGGCTATGAAAGTAGCTGTTTAACAAAAGGTGGCTGATGAAAAGATGGCTATGAAAGTAGCTGTTTAACAAAAGGTAGCTGAGAAATTTTTTTGAAATTTTTTTCAAATTATACTTTTATTATATTTGAATTTTACTTAAAACACTACTCATAAGTATTTATAACAAATTTATTAAAAACTTTTTTACTATCTATAGAAACTAAAGCTAAGCTAAACTGTTTAGATTTTTATCTACCATTTTGCTTTTTCAACTTCTTACCTTTCACTTATAACCTTTTAGGTGCTTCAGTAAAGAAAAGGTTTGTTGCTTGTAATAATTTTATTATTATTAGATTAGAGTTCATTTTTAAAATATAGACAGTCAAGTGAAATTCAACTAAACTTTCAACAGGTCAAACAGACATATTAAAGCCTTTGGTTTGGCAATAATAAATAAACCAAATAAAGCCCTTGGTTAAATAAAAGACACTTAAATATATGATGTAGTCTTTCCAACTAATATAACAAAACACTGAATTTCTGCAATTGTTCTTTGAAGAAACTGAAGATTAGAACAAAGAAATTAAAACACAGATGTTTTATAACACTTTAAAATTGTATCATCAAACATTGTGTAACTCAGTACTCAGATGGTCTAGCAAAGAAACAATTAGCCAATTTAAAATAATTTGAAATGAAATTTTTAGACTTGTTCAAAGCATATTTGAAGGTGTTGATAAACAATATTTTTAAGTAGAGAGACAAAATCTTTGAATGCTTGAATAAGATTCAAACTATAAAAAATATATTACTTGCTTGCACAATCCTGTAATCAAAAAAGTTATATTAAAATCATGTCTTGTTATACACATTGCAACAATTAAATTAAAATTTGTTATTAACTTCAATAAAAGAAGCAGTAGCAGAAGTTGCACCATTAAATATTCTATAGATATTTAAAGATATTCTTTGAGACAGAAAACCACAGGAATAAAAAACTTTTTGTAAAGTATCCATGTCACAATTTCACATTTCATAACATCCAAAGAAAAATCAGTAATAGCTTTTATTAAAACAATAAATAAAAAAGATTTGCCTTTATGTGGTTACTATTATGATTCTTATGATTCTCATAAAGGATAAACAACAAAGCTAAACAAAAATTTATACTTAATAAGTCTAAAACCTGAATATAGACGTTCTAATTTTTTGCCACAAATACTTGATTATCAAAGAAAATCAAGGAACAAATACTAGTTTTTATTGATGCAATTATAAACAGCTTCTTCTTGTAATAAATCTTTGTCTTTCTTGTATCCAAAGGATATCGTGATATCAAAAATTCTATACAATTAGTATAATATTTGGCCTTTAAAAAAAAATAATGTTTTTCTCCAAAGGACTATTTTTTTCTTTGAAATGCTATATAAACTTGTGAATCAAGCAACATTTTGAACTAATCAATGGCAGTATTTTATGTTTAATAAAAATTAATAATTTAATAAAATTTGATAAATTTAATAAATCACAAATTAAGCAGGGTGTATGTTAAAGGGGAAGTCCAAATTCTATTTTCCATATTTGAAACTTTTTCTCCCCCTATTTATTATTTAAAATGCAAGTTATTAAAATGATATTTTGATTATAAATGCAGTCTAGTGTAATAAAACTGGGGATGATCATTAACATATTTTGATCTATACTTGTAACTTGTTGTTACTAACTTTACCTCCTGATGATAGTTAAACAATAAAACTTGATAAAAATTTTACCTAGGGTATATGTAAAAAAGGAAGTCCAAAATTTGTTCTTACTAAAATAATCATTTTGATTTTTTTTTAAACTAACGAAAAAAAAAATTATGTTTTGCGGTTTTAAATTATTTTCCAACCATTTCAGATATTTAACAGTGCATAACTTGTTTAGTTTTTATGTAGTTTAGTTTTAATAGTTACATATAGTAAAACTTTTTTCAACAATATAATCAAGTTGAAAAACTTTTATTTAATTGACATTCCAATATATGTATATATATATATATATATATATATATATATATATATATATATATATATATATATATATATATATATATATATATATATATATATTCGGGTCGGTCATAAAATTTTTTTTTCTTGTTACAGGCTCTAAACATTACTAATAGTTATTAATATTGATACTATCAAACATGAGAATGATTGTGACAAAGGGCGCAACTTTATTGGGAAAATTACCGGTACGTTTATATTTTGGAGAAAAAAAGTTTTTCAAAAGTAGGTCAACCTGGTACTCAAAAAAAGCAAAACTTTATATAAAATTCGAAAATAATAATTGTTTTATAAAAATCATATTGCCAAAAAAAATTGTTATTAAAAAACATGTAAAGATTGCACCGTTTTCACTTTTAGTTAAAAAATTATAGTTATTATGCAATAAAATCTAAAAATAAATTTTATATAAAAAAATTATTATTTTTGAAATTTTTATAAAATTTCGATTTATTTGAGTACCTACATCACATAATTTTGAAAAACTTTTTTTTGAATAATAATAGGGCCTGCTAATTTTTGTAATTATAGTTACAATTGGAAGACATTGTTCAATCCATAAAAGTTAATACTTTCCTAAATTAGTACATAAAAAAACAACTTTCTAGGCCATAGCCAGGTTAGCAACTCTTAAAAAAAATTTTATGACCCACCCTAATATATATATATATATATATATATATATATATATATATATATATATATATATATATATATATATATATATATATATATATATATATATATATATATATATATATATATATATATATATATATACATATATATACATATATATATATATATATATATATATATATATATATATATATATATATATATATATATATATATATATATATATATATATATATATATAAACATATAAACACCAGGAATTAGCTAAATGTTTATAAAAACAGTGCTCAATAATACAATAAAAAGAGCAATAAATATTTAAAATTTATTTAAATGCAAAACAACTTTAATAATAATACTTAAAGTTTTGTGCCATACATGGCAATCATAAGCTATTTAAACGGTTTTGTCTAGCGGTTTTTTATATAAGTAATAGTTTATATTATTAATTACATAAAAAAACGCTAGAAAAAACGGTTTAAAAAAACTTGTTTACAAATGAACTAAAAATTACGGTACAATGACTTCTGACGTAATAAAAGATGTAACTATTTAGTCTCTGGTATGAAAAGAAAACTGTAGAAATTTGTTTGAATGTTGACACAGATAATATTTCATCTTTTTTATTAAGCAGGTTGTTTTCTTTGTGATATAAAATTATAATTTTCTTATGAAGGCAGAGGCTACAATGTTATTTGTTTTGATAAGTTTACAACATTTTATAATTTCCCACTTTATTGTGTTTTTTTTTTTTTTTTAATAAAATTCAAATTTTTTTACTAGTTCACTTTGAAATTTTTTATTTTTGAGTTAATTATTCTTATAATCTTCTTATAAACTATTTTTATTATTATACTAGTAACTTAATGCCAAAAAATTGCTATTACCTAATGTGTGTGTGTGTGTGTGTGTGTGTGTGTGTGTGTGTACATGTTGGGGACATGCTGAATCAATTTCAGGTGCCCTCAAAAGTATTTTGCAAAATTTTGAATGAAAAACCATAATATAGTTTATATAGTGTTAAATAGTTCATCCTATCTACAATTCTATAGTTTAATGCTACAGCTTTATAGTGTTGCAATCTTTAATGATTGTGCAATTAGAAATTTATAAATGATAATAATTTTCAAAGGGAATTATTGTGTAGCAACAATTACAATGAAAATAATATTTTTAAACAGTAACTCTCTAAAAACCATAAATAACATTTTTCAAAGCCATTTTGAGGCCCCAGAAATAGGAAGGCCATAGGCATAAGCATTACTAGCCATAAGGGAAATCCAACCTTATACATACATACATTTAACAAAAATAAATTTTTGTTAAATGTATGTATATATAACACAAAGGGATTACCATAAAACATAAAAACAACGCCAGCAATAACACTAGCTTATTTGAATTAAAACTGAAATATTACCAAATTTCATCAAGCAGTTGAGAAAATAATGAGGAATTAATAAAAGATTTCAAGACAACATCCCATAAATACTCCACAGTTTCTAAAAGGGCCACCGGATTTTCAGATAATACCTAAACATGACACAAGAATCATGATCAGCAATTAAAAAAATAATTATTAATGGTAAATAAAGTTTCAAAACTCTTATTAAACTAAATACCATATCATTCTTTAGTTGACAATAAGAAGCAAGCGATTGAAGTATTGAGCAAACATACATTGGATAACTGAGCTAAATCAAAAAACTATATAATTTTATGTCTGACATTATGAAGTTTGCACTTAGGCAATTGCCAATTGCCACATGGTTGGTTAAAATACAAATACAAATTCAGATAAAAATAAATGTAATCTGCATTTTCCAAATTCAAATAAATATTTTAGGTTACAAAAAAAATACAAACATTATTTGAAGATGATGAAATGGTATACTAAATAAAAGAATCAAAACTAGTCTTTTAACAAATAATACTCAAAAATAAATTTTTAAATTAATTTAGTGCTAAAAATGAGAAAGATTCTTTGTTACAACAAAAAAAAAATTAAAACCTAGTTAATGGAACTAAAAATACATTTCAATCAAATGCATATACAATTAGTTTGAAATTTTTTCAATCAAATACAATGCAAATACAAATAGGACAATACAGCCTATTATTACTAAATACAAAAAACGTATATATATATATATATATATATATATATATATATATATATATATATATATATACACATATATACATACATATATATATATATATATATATATATATATATATATATATATATATATATATATATATATATATAAATAAATAAATATATATATATATATATATATATATATATATAAACGATTCCTTAATTTCATATTTAAATGAAAAATTGGCTTTATGGATACTGATCCATAACCAGACAAGTTTAAAACCACTGACATGAAACTTCAAAAATGTATATACATTCTAACATCATACACAAATGGGAGGCTGGTGGGGGCTTCAATACATAATTTGACTGACTATCTAGGAACAAGAAACAAAAAGATCAATAAAACAATTTAGAAATAAAATATTCATACATGTTTTTTTTGAGTAATTTCAGATTCTATTGCTTTAATGCATTGCACCAAGAGAGGAAAAAACCCTTCAATAATTATCCAACTTATTTTACTAGAATCTGTGATATGCATTGCACTCTCTACAACATGAATTATCGAGGCTGCATAGAAATCATCAACTTGAGAGTAGTTTGCACACAAACCCTGTACCTTGGTCATAATAACCATGTAGACATCTCTAGTTGAAATTAAAAAAGTTAAAAAAGTTGATCAAAATTAAGTTCATTTGTTAAATTTATTTCAATGGGTCGCAATATAAAAATTTATAAAAAAAAAAAAAAAAAATTCAAAAATCTATACTTAATGGAACATAATATTTGTACACAGATATACGTTCATATACACATGCATAGATGTGCTTTTACAATGTATGCACATTTCTACATATATGCAGGCCTTATTTTAAATAAAAAAGTGCTTAATGCATTAGCTTAACGCGATTTTGACGTCATAAAATTATCTTTATTTTTTTTTATAGACATTAAGTGTTTTAACTACCGCAATAAATAAATAACCGCAAACTAGTTCAATTTAACAATTAACTCAAATATAAACTATAAACGTTTTAAATATAAATTTATTATGAAAATTTTGTAATGTTTTCTAATGTTATTTTATTATTAATTTTAGTTCAATATTATTTAGTAAAATATATATATATATATATATATATATATATATATATATATATATATATATATATATATTAAATATTTCTGAAATTTGTTTTTGAATAATTGTTTTTAATCGTTATTGAATAAAAAATAATAATGATTTTTTTTATTTTTAAAAATTTCTAGAGTAAACAAAAAATATTAACATTGATAAACACAAACCCATGTTAATTATTTAAACAACGATTTTGTTTTGACTAGCAAAGAAAAATTTAAGTTTTTAAATATTTTTAAAATTTTTAAAAGCGTTTCAACTTGCGTTTTATAAAAATATAAAAAAGTTTTGTCTGCTTTGAGCATATTTTTGATACATAGTTTAGAACGCGTTCGCTAGGAATTTAATTCATAAATTTTTTATGTTATTGTAAAAATATTTAACTTTTTAAACAAATCACAAAGAAACAGAGCTATAGAGAAAAATCGTTTTCAACGATTAAATCTTTTTTTTTTTTAATTTTAGGAAATTAAAAAAAAAAATTAAATTAAATATAAAAGACTTAATTATGGAAACTCTTTTGTTAATTATTCTTAAAACAAAAAAACAAAAACTATTACGCCAAACTTTAATCGTGCAAACTTAAAAAATACTCAACTGAAATAATTTAAGTATATTTAATAATTTGAATCGTATTTGTTTATAATAAACTTTCGTAAAAAATTTTGTTTATTAAAAATTAAGTTCCTTAACTTATAAACAAACTCAAAAGTATTTTCATTCTATGTATAATTACAAAACTCTTTTTTTTTGTTTGTAAGCAATTTAACTTAATAAATTAAAAAAAAGAATAAATATGAGGTAATCTTTGTTAAGAATAAATTTAATTTATTTATTGAACTATATTTTTATTTTTAATTATATATCAATGTAATTAAAATATAGTAACATGTTAAAATATTTTAACATGACTTGTATTATTTATAAACCGTTGGGCAGTTGCTCTTACGGCACTTATTGTTATATAAATATATTCAACGTAATATTAGTGTCATCAGCGGATGTTGTAGTCTACTTATGATTTCTTTACCTTATAATAACTTGATTTATGAAAAAAAAAAAATTATTGAATCGCACGCAGAAGAATTTTAACAAATTGTCTTCATTCAAATATTGCGAGTAACAGGTAATTTTTTTTTTCTGTGCCGACCCCCAACCCCCGCATAATTTAAACTATATACCTTTAACTAATAAGAAAAGCAAAGACATTTTTTTTAACATCTCGAAAAAATGTCTTGATATTTTTGTTATCATGATAATAAAAATATGAAGACATTTTTTGAGATTTTATTTAAAAAAATGTAAATTCTTAATTACAAATTTTTTTGCAAATGTTTTTTATTATAAATTCAGTAAAAAATTCATAAAAAATCTATATTACAAAAAACTTTTATATTCTGTATTAATAAATATGGAATATAGATTTTTTAAAAGTTTTTTACTAAAAACTTTAAAAAATTACTACTTTTTAATAAAACATTGCAAAAAATTTGTAGTTAAGGATTGACAAACAATTTTTCATGTTGCTAAATATTTGGATAAAAAGTTTAGCGTCAAATTAATTGCTATAAAAAGGAAAGATATATCGCGATGAAAAGTTACAACAATTATTTTTAAAGTAAATTCTTTTTTTTAATAAATATGTTTACATATCGTTATTTAAAAGTTAATGTGGTTTTTTTGAAAATTAATTACTTCTTTTATGTTACCGCTAATTTAAAAGTTAAAAAATGATAAAAAGTAGCTTAACCAAAACAGCTCTACGCGTACGTAAAAAGCGCTTAAGGCATACGTAAATCGCTCTAGGCGTAACGCTTTAAAACAAGGGCTGTATATGTATGCATACTATATTGTATGTATATATATGTGTATTGATTGGAAATTAAATAAAGAAATGCATTGATAATAAACTTATATGATTTTAACTTTTTCTGTGTTTAAAATGTAAAGAGTGTAACAAAATTATAGATAATCATAAAATATTTTATAACATACTGAAATAAATTTGATGCTAAACCATAATGTAGTAAGACTCTCCAAAGCTCATAAATTTCTACCATAAACAAATGATCAACTTGTTCTAGTGATACATACTTGTATATTAAATCATTAATCGAATATAAAGACATCTAAAAAAAATTTAATAACATGGTTTACCAAATTTAAATTTTAAAACAGAAACTGTTATTTGAAATAATTTAATGAAGAAAAAAGTGTATTTTAAAGAAGTACACAGTGTATTTTATTATTATAAAAATTATACTATTATTTATTTCCATTTTTAAACTGTTAGAACAATTATGATTATTATATGAAATAATTATACATCATTAAAAATTTTAACTTAATATTTATGAAAATAAGTTTGTCCTTTTTATAAATAAAATAGACAATTACAAAAATTAAAAAATATAAAAGGCTTTAAATAAACTCATTTGCTTAATGAAGTTGGTATAGTAAAAAAACTGTAAAATAAACAACAAGTTTAAATTACTATGGTTATTCTTTTATTGAATAACTCAGACAATTTTGCATTCCAATAATAAAATAAAAAATTAAAAACAACACAAAGAAAACAAAACTAAAACAGAAAATGCGCAAAAAATTTGAGGGAAAAAAGATAAAAACCAAGCTTTTTATCTTTTCTCCCATTAATTTTTATTTAAGTCAGTAAGATATCATAGAACTCAAAACGTAAATACTGATGCAGTTAAATTGACTGAACAAATCAGATGAAAATAACCAGCAAAAAATCTTAGAAACAACTTCACAATGAAAGTCAGAGAACTTGTGCCCAATCCTATGGTAGCTACTGATTTGTCATATCATTTCTAATCCATCAAAGTTTGTGTTAAGCAAGTTACTATCTAATAAAATATTTTTAGATCATTTTTTTATTTTTATAACAAACTCCAATCCTATACAAAATTCTTAACAAAAATAACCACAATACATCTGAAACAAAAAAATCTAAGAATAGGAAAAGTCAAAAAAAACATTTATATTTCAAACAAAATGGTTATAAATTTTGTTTGAAATATTAGGAACAAAATTTAAAATGGTTAATTGTTTACTATAATCTACAAATATAAAAGTTAATTAAAATAAAATAAATGTGCAACATTTAGTGTAAATAGCATAATAACATTTTATGTAAGTTACATGTTACATATTTTTTATGTCTTTAGGTTTTAAAATATTTAAGATTATTATTTAAATATTCAATTATATTTAAAAAGTCTTATTTTATTTTGGGGTAAACTTCACTTTTTAAAATTTAGTATTAATTTTTTTATCTTGTCGAAGTATAAAACAATGTCTTAGAAAAAAAAAGAAGTGCTTGGAAATACTTAGTACAAATAAGCATGGAAATAAGATGGAATAGTTCCTATGATACAATCGAAAGAATTCCAATGAGATTTAAAAATTTAACTCTTAATCTGAGCAAATGGAAAGCATATTGTTCAGATGTTATTCCTTTGTATATTTGTCAGATATTATTCCTTTGTATATTTGTCAGATATTATTCCTTTGTATATTTGTCAGATGTTATCCTTTGTATATTTGTCAGATTTTCTTCCTTCGATTATTTATCAGTGTTATTCCTTTGATTATGACTCTAAATGAATTTTTTAATCAAGTATTAGTATGTTAGGTTTTTTTCAGTATTATTACTTTAGTTGAACAATTAAATGAGTTGACAAAAGACTGGGTACATTTTTACATAATAAGTATTTGGCTTTCAACTTTTTGTGACCATAAATAAAAACATATCAAAAGAAAGATGAGAATAAAATAAAAAATTGGATAAATGAGTTGATACAAAAAATGTAACAGATGATGATGATGAACCCACAGAAAGTAATACAAATGAAGTAATTATAAATCTAGCTTATCCAAAAATTAAAGAAAAAAAAAAAAAAAAAACTTAAAAAATATTTTCTGCTAGTTTCCAAAAGTGACAACTGTAGCTGATTCTAATTTTGTAAATACTAAGAATAGAAAATGATTGAAAAGATTAAACTTTAGTATATACATCATAAATAAAGAAATTGAAGAGTACTTAAAACTCCCTCTTGTAATGTAAAAAGAAAATCCACTTTTATGGTGGTAAAGTTATGAAAATTAAAAAAAAAAATTAAAGCCCAAAACTTTCTTTCAGCACCACCTTCTGTAGAAAGTGAAGGGCTTTTTAGTACAGGTGGCAACATTTATGAACCTAATAGAAACACACTTTAACTAGAAAATGATGAAAAATTAATGTTTATACATTATAACTTGAGAGCAAAAAGTGATAATTGAGTTTGACTTATGTTTTTGATATTTTATTTCTTTATTAAATGATTATTTGATTATGTGAAAGACTAAAACTATTGATTTGTTTATTGTTGTTTCTATTACATAGTATGATTATACAATAATAACTCCATGATAAATAGCAGCAACTCCATAATCATAGAGTTCCATATCAAGATATTATATTTCATAAACATAAATCGAGAATCTGTAGAGATAATTATTTATATCTGTATCAAGATGTTACATATCATAAACATAAGTGGAGAATCTGCAGAGATGATTATTTGTTTTACCATAACAATGAACATCTCTTGAAACAGGCTCAAGTTCAATAAAATATTTAGATGAGATATTTTGACAACCAAATTTTACGCTGTTCATATTTGTTCAAGTTAGTTGGGACATTTTGACAACCAAATTTTATGTTAGGTTAGGTTATCCTGCTACCGGTAACATGTAATTCAGTACAACCTGCTTCATGTCACGCTGCCTTGTAGAATATGCTTTTTTAGGCAAAGGCTAGGAGAAGCCAACTCTGACTTAAAACACCCCCTGCCTTGAGGCTCTTGGTTGAGGGTTGAGTAAAGGCTAGAGATAGTATCTTGTTAAAAATACTTATCTTAAGCAGATATTAAAGACATCCGTCTACGGTCATGTAGAGGGCCTCCTAGGCAAAGCCCAGATTAATATAAATAAGAACAGATTCTATTCATTGACCAGCCTCACACCCCTTCTTTAGCTATTAGGCTAGTGTAGATGTATTTAAAATACATTGTTTCCAGTTTAGGATATTAAATGCTGGATCTTCTTGACTCAATGCATTAGTTTATTTTGTATCTCTGTTTTTAAGACTAATTATTATCTCCTAATAAGGGTACAACTATAAAACTCAGTTAATTTTTCTGAGGCTGGCTGGTAGTCAGGTTTCCTGAATTTTGTGGTAGCTTTCAAAGAGGCTGATTACATCAACAGCTGTAAAATACCATACTACTAACAGTGCCATGCTGCGCATGGATGATGTCCCTGTTCTTGCTTTTGGTGTGCATTGTTGAGACTACAATTGGGGCCCTTAGGGTTTTACATTTGGAGGCTTAGGGTTTATAATTAGTAATGAGACAATTGATTGGATTAATAAATAGTGTACTGAGTAATATCTGTGCTTTGAGTCAAGTTCTTTAATGTGATTTCCTGCTTAGACTCTTCTACATCTTATGGACCGGACAACATACCTGTTATAGTCTTGTAGAAGTGTTCTCTAGAGCAGTCATCTATACTTTCAAAATTATAAAGTGCTTATCAGAGTCTTGTTTTCCAGCCTGCTGGAATTCCAGCCAGCAGTATCTGTTATCCCTATTTTCAAAAATTATGGGGAGCTATCCAACTGTTCTAACTACCATCCTATTAGTCTTAGTACTATCATAAGCAAGTCTTAAATTAACAAACACTTAATCTCTTATCTTGAATCTCATAACTTACTTTCTGATCATCAACATGGATTTCGATCTTCTTTTTACTTTACTGCTGATTAGCTAAGATCAATAAGTGATAGGTTTTATTGTGCATTAGACGGATTCAGAGAGGTTAAGGTTATCACTCTCAACATTTCTAAAGCCTTTGATAAAGTTTGGCATGTTGGTCTTCTCTATAAGTGTTCTTCTTACAGTGTATCAGGTAACATCTTTAAGATTATTGAATTCTTCCTTACCAATTATAGATTAAAAGTTGTCTTCAATGGACAGCACTCTTCTTCTTATTCTGTAACTTCATGGGTTCCTCAAGGTTCAATCCTTGGCCCTATACTCTTTTTATTTTACATAAACTACCATTTATTTTTATCTTGATAAGAAGCAAGGACTCTCTGATTAGTTGGAGGTGGTATTTGAGCTTGAAAAAGATCTCAATTCTGTTACAACATGGGGCTCTCTATGGCTGGTTAACTTTAACTCTATTTTTTTGAACTTATCGTTATTGCAATAATCTAGATTTTCCTATATTTTAAAAGGTAAGGTAATCTATGAGTCATCTACCCTTGGTCTTCTAGGAATAACTCATAATTCAGTTCTTTTTAGGAAACCATATCTCAAATCCATTGCAAAATTAGTATTTGCAAAGGTTGCAGCTCTTTCTCATGGTTGCCACTTTTATTCTAATTTTATCTGTATAAATCTCAAATCCGCCCGTATGGAATGCTATTGGCAAATCTGGGGCGGATCTCCTAATGATGCTCTTTCTTTTTTAGACAAGGTACAAAAACCCATTGTTAACATAGTTGGACCTGCTTATGCAGCCAAGCCCTAACCATTATAGCTTCATCATGTTGTTTTTCTTTCTCTTTACTATAAATACTGTAACGGGCATTTCTCTACAGAGCTAGCCTCCTTGTGCCATCTACTAAAATTCATTTTCATGTTACTTGCCATTCAACTAGGTCTCATCTTTTTACAATGACTATTTTTAAATTCTTATTTATCTAGTTTTGTTCCTCAAACATCAGTTCTTTGGAATTTGCTTCCTTCATCTTGTTTTCCTGATTCATGTAATTTGCACTCTTTTAAGTCGCCTGTTAATCATTATCTTGCTTTATAAACTTTATCTTTTCTTTTCCAATAACTTCTAACTTTAATAGCAGTTACTTGCAGCCTTGTTGAAAGTAGAGTTGTTAAAAAAAAAAAAAAATCTTTTTTTATTTAATTTTTTATTTTACATTTTAAGTTAAATAAATAGTGATATATTTAAAATTTAACTCATTTTATTATTTTAAAACATAACATATTTTTACTAAAGCTACCAGATACAGTACAAATGAGTTAAATTTGAAGTCTAATCTTGGAAAACATATGATGTTTTCCAAAATTTATGTTTTTAGCATATTTGGCTGAACATTTGCCAAGGTTTGGCTAAACCCAATGTTTAGTTTTTGCAAAACATGAAATTAATTTCATGGTGGACAAACATCTAAAGAAATCTTAAAATATTTTGAAAGTAGAAACAATAACTAAAAAAGCAAGCTTAATTAGCTAAAACAAATTGTGAAACCTCATGTCTTGAAATTGAAAATAATTTTGTGAAATTTTGCATCCTGGAACTTTAAAAATCATTTTACCTTACAAAATAATAATTACAAAATAATAAGCCAGTTTAATATATGAATATTTTTTCAATGAAATAAATTTTCCAGGAAAAATTTGTTAAAGGAATAGATTTAAAAATTTTTATTTATTAGTATTTATTAAAAATTTTAACACTAATGATACTGGAAAACATATCTGACATAATTGAACTTTTTTTAAGTTTCTTTAAATTTAGTTCACTAATATATTTTTACAATTATCAAAAGAACAATATCCATGGGTAAAAAAAATTGTGTTATTTAAAATTGTGTTATGTAATTTTAAAATTGTTAAATTTAAAAACAAAAAGTTAAAATTGTGTTATGTAAAATTTAAAATTGTGTTATTAAAAATTGTGTTATGTAATTTTTTTTTACTCAAGGTGAAAAAAATTAATTACTCACAAAAAAGGTAAAAAAAAAATATATATATATATAACCAAACCTAAGAAGCATAAAAAAAATATTTCAAAGAAAATTTCAATTTTTGTATTATTTATATTTCCCTCAAATTTTTTAAATAACACAAACTATTACTCACAACTTTTTTACTTATCTCTTTTCCAGCTTGGCACAATGATCTAAAAAAGCGAACTACCATTAGTGCTGTTTTAAAGTTTTCGAACTTATTCTTAAGAAGTGAATAAAGCACTTCAGTTAATCGTGGACAATCCATAATTCTCCAAGAAGATTCGGTATCATGTTGAGCTATTCTGATCAAGACAGAAACACAATTTGAAATAGCATTGTCTGATGGATGACAAATCTCAATTACATATCTTAGTCTGGGTAAAATTTGCATCTGCAATAATCCCTTGAAAATAAAATAACAATAAAAATGAAATTATTAAAATGAAATAATTTCAAAATCTTACCTTTATCTAAATTTCCCTTGAAAGAAAAAATTTGTTTTTATTTTAAAGTAGGTTTAAAAAAAGTAATTTCAGAAAAAAACCTTATCAATAGCTTTTGTCATATGAAAAAATATTTGACAAAATAACAATATTAAAACCTTTCTCTCTACCTTACTAAGTACTAGGTGTTTATTTATAAAATAAATTGCAATATGAATGTTCATTTCCTGATTACAAACATAACTTTTATCAATGACTTGATAATTTTAAATTTTTTAAGTAATGAAGCTTAATAATTTCAAAATTTATTTATTTATTTATTTTTTTTAATTATCTTCACTTCCAACAAGGTTGCAAGCAACCACTTATTAGTGTTGGAAGTTACTGAAAGAGAAAAGATGAAGATTGTAGAGCAAGATAACGATTGACAGACAACTTAAAATATTGCAAATTATATGAATCAGGAAAGCAAGATGAAGGAAGCGAATTCCAAAATATTTAGAATTTAACTTAAAAATACACTTAAGAACTTTTAGTTAAAAAAAAATAAATACATTTTTTATAAAAAATCTAATTATTACAAGTTATAAAACTTTTATGATTTGCATCTTAATCTCTAGTTTTTAAATATAATTAAACTGTGTGTATTATTAAAAAATTATTTATATAATATCTTTATCTGTTATAAAATATTTAACCTTTATAATATTTATAGAAACGAGATATTTAAGTAATTAAAAATTTCTAAAAAACAATTGATTTATTATAAAAATATTCAACAAAAGATATAATGATTAGTGCATCCAATACTGATCATATCAATACCGGTAATATTAAGCATTAATACTATGAGTATTAAAAGTAATAGGTTGGCTAAATACCAGTAATTAAATATTACGTATATCAAAAAAATAAAAATTTGTCATCGGCTCTGGAGTTAATTTTGACTTTTTCTTATTTAGCTTGTGTTCAAAATGACAAATATCTCGAACTGAGACGTAGATGAAAACTAGTTTTAAACAATAAATAAAACCTTTTGTTTTTATTACTCTAAATGATAGGTAGGCATAATTTATGCTGTAACTTATGGATGATACGCATAAAGTTTTATAAGTAGTTATAATTAGGCTCAATAAAAAAAAACTTTATGCATTTTGAATTAAGAATTTATAATCAATTAAAAATCACAGCCAATGATGAAGAAAACTTTTCTAGCCAATTTTAAACTGTAATGCGTGAGAAGGGCTATTGAGCTGACTTGTGATTTTCAGCCATTAATCTGCACACTAAGGTGCACACTGTTGTAAAATTGTTTTGCCATTTCTGCAAAAAAAAATTTTAAACACTACAAAAATACACAGTAGATAAATTTACTAAAATCCTTTTACTAATACTCGACTCTAAATCTTGTTGAAGCCACTTATACACAATACTCAAACCTTCAATGAAATTGAAAAGTTTGCTGCAGAAACATTTTCAAAATGATGCAACAGTGTTGGCAGCTGATTCGATACTATCGCTCATGATAAATAACTTCAAAAACACAGAATTCATTTTTAGTTTAAAAGCTACATAGGTACAAAAAAAAAAAACGAGCGTCTGAAAACTTTTCCTAGATCTCTGCATTGGATCATCAACAATACAATAACTTTGATCTAGGGCTGTCTTTTAAGCATCTTGCCATTGTAAATACCATATAGTTTAACTAAATTGGCACCAGTGTTTAACCTGATAACATGAAAATTAACATGAAAAAAAAGATTGACATGGGAATTTTTAATGATAAGGAATGTAAAAAAAAAAATAAAAAAAAAAAAACGTTTCAAAGTTTATCAACAATAATCTGCACTGAGATTTTCAGTTTTAAAGAAGAAGGAGCTAGTGGAGCAAATTTTCATAACAGCTAAAAATAATTTAAAACTGCAAAGCCAACCATTTATTGAATTTATGTAATTCAAACTACTTAAAATTTAAATCAAATTTTAAATTAAAAAAAAAAATTTAAAACCAGTTTTAAAAACTGGTATTAAAAATGCTCACTAATAAGAATTATTTTGAATAAATAGTTAGATTTTGAAACAAACCTTAACAACATCTACTTTAACAAGTTCAGCATCAAGTAGATCACGATCTTCTTCTTTTTCTTCTTGAGTCATTTCCTCATCTTTCTTTTTGTAGTAGAAGCATAGTTGAGGAAGTACAAAGCCATTTTCAGTGAACAAAAACTTTTGCACAAACTCCTGTATCAAAATTTGAAAATAATTTATCATGACACCATTGACAAAATTGTATTAAACTGCACTTGTGAGTCTGAATTTTTTCGCATCAATTTTTTAGAATTAAAGTTTGAATTTTAAATTATTTTAAGCTTGTTATATCACGCATTACTATAACTTAAAAAAATAAAAATAAATAAATAAAAAGGAAACACAATTTTTAAAAAATCACATAAATAAAAAAATGCTCAACTTTAAAAACTACATTAAAATTACTTGTTCACTTTTAACATACAAAATCTGTGAAAGGGTTGCAACAGCAGCACTGTAGATTGGTTCTGAATGATCATCTATTGACCACCTTAACAAAAAAAGAAGCCCAGCATCTAAACATTGTGCCAGTAAATCTGTTGAAAGTTTTCCATAAAACTCTTGTTGATAATACTAAAGACATCAGTGATAGATAATAAATATGTGATAGATAATAAATACATAGTTAATACAAAAAAGAAATTAATATTTTAATATTTTGTACACAGCTCTCGAAATTAGAAAAAATAAGGTCGCAATAAATTACTAATTTTAAACTAAATTGGTTCGGCATAAAGTTGACCAAATTTTAAACAAAAAGGTCACCATAACAACATAGAAACTAGGTAGGAAAAAAATCCCTGATCTCAGACACTTTTAAGTTGGCAGTTAATTTGGGATTGCTGAATGCCAAACCTAATTCCAAAAGCTGTATATATATATATATATATATATATATATATATATATATATATATATATATATATATATATATATATATATATTATATATATATATATATATATATATATACTATTCATTTATGACATAATTTATGTTAATTTATACAAACCTTTAATAAAACATTAAAACCTTGTATGCATTAAAAATTTATTACTTAAAACTTGGCAAATTACTTAAAACTTGGCAAATTTAACTTGAATTGAACAGTATTATGGTTCTTTTGTCAAAAGGTATACCCTAACAATAGTTTTCATATAACTACTTAGAATTTTTTTCTATGATTTCAGCAGTAAGCATGCACAAATTCATCATTAGTAGGTGTGATTGCTAAATACATCATTAGTGGACATGTGGTTGCTAAATACATTATTAGTAGGTGTGGTTTTAAAATTCTATGGCAAAAACAGACTATTGTGTTTGAAATTTAAACAGATTTGTTACATATTTTCCATAGAAATTTGAGCTTTCTGCATTCCTTAACCATATAAACATTAACTATGCAAAATCTCACACAATTCTTTGCACATTAAAAGCCTTTCTCATTACATATTAATAAAATAATAAATCAAACCAAAATACCTTTTCAATGACTTTCGTCAAAAGCTTCAACCCAAATATTCTTTGTTGAGAAAAATTTGATCTAACCATATGAAATAGCTCTAGCAGTGTATAACCAGGTAAACTAGGATCATCTCCATGATGATATAAACCTGAGTAGGTTGGTTGGTTATTTTCTTTAACCAAACTCCCTTCAAAATCAAAACGAGGCAAACAATTTGCATCCTGTGAAATATATTTTTATGATTCCATTTATTTAACACAAATTTATATGAAACTATTTATTTTAAACATATTATATTAGTATTATACCTCATTGTATTTCAAAACAGGAACAGATTTCATCCAACTCAATTTTTCCTTCTCTATTATATCCATATGCACAAAATCTTTAGAAATATTAAACTCTTTATGAGGTTCAAACTCCTCCTCAGAATTTGGTGACATATTTTTATCGGGCTCAGCAATAGCATTGCAACTATCAAGTTGTTTATCCGTAATATCATTTTGTATATTTGGAATTACATCCGGTGTGACACTACTATATGAATCAGTTTTTAACGAATTTTTAGATTTCAGTAAAGATACAAGCTTGGGATCTTAAAAAAAAATTTTATTTCCTATTACTTACAAAAAACCTCAGGTTAAATTGCTAACATATTAACTTAAAGAAAAGTTTTTCATTTTAAAAATTCAACATTAAGATGAGAAAAAGAGGTAAAATAAAAGATTAAAGAGATAAGAAAAAAGATAAGAGATAATTCTAGATTTTTTTTTTAAAGTAACAAAGCTACTGTGCAGAGAATACAACTAAAAAAGTGTTCAACTCAGTGAAAAAAGTGAATCCAACTCAGTACTTTTTACTTACAACCACACTATAATACACTATTAACGCATATTTTTTCATTGGCTTGGCAGCTAGAGTAGTAACTGCATTTATCAACTTTATCTAACTGCATTTATCTAACTTTTGCATTTATCAAGCATTTTAGCACCTTGCCTAAAACAGAAAGGGTGTAGTTAAAAGAACCCACCACAATAATGATAAGAGATATGTAGTGGTAGATAATCGATATGTAGTGGTAGATAAGAGATATGTAGTGGTAGAGGTTGAAATCAAGAGTAAGAAAATAGAACATAAAAAAGAAGAAAACTTAACAG